CAATGCGATAGAGTACAAAACATTTACGAACATAACCGTTTCTTTTCATAAAATCTGTCAAAGTGTCTTCAGAACATTGTCTTGGCGTACTTTATTTGATAGAGGATCGAATGTAAATGGGATACCATTATATTTTCGATATATTGGTAGTTCCTCTATTTCAAGTACTCGACTCTCTCTGTGACTTGACCAACAAGACAATTGACGATGGTCTTATGGATTTTTTTTGCTACACGATTCATTTCGGGAACAGTGATATCGCATGACATATTCAAGAATCAGATCGATGCATCGATTCGTATTTTTATTACGAAAACAGCACAAGAATTTAGTCAATCACTTGAATTGATTCATGATTCCACTCATGCGAATGAGCTTTCTTCAGGCCTCTTGACCAATTTCTTGCCTATGATAGTTTCCTCAACAAACAGTCATAATATCACTCAATATCTCTATAGTGTAACACGGGTTATTTATGGAACTCAAATATCAAATTGTTCATGTAGTGAAACTCCTTTATATACAGTACGAACTCGTGTCGACGAAAATAGCTCATGCTGGGTATCGGGAATGTATACTGGATGTTTCATCATTGAAGCTCTTTTGCAATCGAATCTCATCTATTTCTACGATCAGTCATGCATTGAAACATTGAAAAATATCATCAATCCTAATTTTCAATTGAACACAATTGCACTTGATTGAACCTTGCTCAATCGCTTTGCACCAGATTCAATACTTGACAGTATTGTTGCGAAGTTGATGGTTGAACAGTGGATTAATACAACATCGCACAAGGCGTACTATGATCGATGTCAACCAAAAACATGTACTTATTCATATGTAGACAAAAACACATGGCTTGTTGTGGTAACTACTATTATTGGACTGATTGGAGGTTTACAAACCATCCTGAGAATTGTTGTGCCTCTTGTTATTAAATGGATTCGATCGCTTAGAAATATCGATCGAGGTAAACTGAATCAGGACTGTTGTTCACAGGAAATCTTATACTTTGAGTTACGAAATCGCATTCGATAACCATACTATTTGGCAGTCATGAGATAGAGGAAGTGATGTGATCGAAACGTTCTGTAGGATTAAATAGGCAGTTAGAACAATTGTAGACTACGTTTTTTGACTGTCAGCTATATTTTCTTACTCTTACTTCTTTATAAAAAACGATGAACTAACATCGTCTTTCGACACTTACATGAATACCAATGAAAACTTACATGATTATTCAAAATCCCTCTACGTTTAGTTTTTATTAGGTGTTCATTTTCAGTCTTCCCTTTTTTATAAACCTGCTCGATTTATTATTACACTTGAAAGCACTTTCAAAGGGAAAAATATTAATCGTTCTCTGTTTTTTAATTGTATTAGCATATAATATCTTCGCAATTTGAGTATAGATGCAGTATAGCCTTCGTCACTATAGAGTGAAGAGGTTATAATAATAAAGGAGAAAAGACAGTAATGAGTGGAACAAAAGAGAAAAGGTACAAAATAAAGAGACAAAAGCACAGGTGAAAATGAAATAACCTACAACGCTATTGTCGAAATGTTAGCAGCCATGTTATTTTTCATTTCTTGACAGACCAATAGCATCCTAGTATATAACAGACATCCGAGTCAAGAGTCGTATTGCTCTACTGGAACTAGTCGATTATCGTCTGTCCAGAGTTGTACTGTCAGTAACACAATCTTCTCGAACAACTTCAAATATGTTGCTAGGAGTCATATCCAGCCGATCATTTTAGCTTCAGCTTTTTGATCTATAACTTTACTTCGGCGACATTTGTGTTTTTCACATTTTTATTTGACATAGCTAATTGCTTCATCAATTTGATATTTTCCATTTCAATTTGAGTGTCGCGCAGATTGCATTAGACTCATTTCGAGTGCTTTGAATTGCTCTGAGTAATAGCGGTAGAGCTAATCACTGATTACATTCTCCTTCGACAGCACTGTACTACTACTTGCCAACTTACTTTCAATGCTGTCTGTCTTCTATAACAGAAATTATTCTCAAATCAACGAGTTTTGTTTACGTAAATCTTGTCTAAGCGGCTCTTTTCAGACTCAAAAATTTGAAATGTCTTCTTATTGGTGAATATCTTTTTTTTTGTTTGAATTAAGATTCAGTCGTCTACAGTAGAAAAATCGAAAGGATGAGGATTAATGGAAGAGTCTTCTCTTCACCGATCGACTCAGGCCCAAATCAGCAGCATCTCCTAGAGAAATCAAGATAAGCTAAGTTGTTATAAATTTAATCGAAAAATTTCTGTTGGTGTTAAGAATGGTATAAAATTGATGACAGTTATATTCGATTACTCATTTAGCAGTTCTTATCATCTCTTACATGAATTGTGAGGCGTGAGATGGAACGTACACACCCGTACGATTGTTCCTAACATTCAGCAAGATTTTTATTAGTGTCAAAACAAAGATCTTATTCTTCTTGTGAGTAATGTGATATATTTTTTGTTATTATAGGTATATCATTAATAAATCGTTTTCGAAATGCATTGAAACAGATGAAAACAATGCTTGTCACCATGAATCTATTTGTTCATGATGAACTAGATCCTAATGGTGATGTGAAATTCGAACTGAAAGCACAGTTAATATCGACTCGTGTGTACATTGTGATTTTAATTGTGTCGCTTGTGGTGCTTTTCCTTTGCAGATGGCAAGTACCGATAACAAGGACTTTCACTGTTCAATTACCGTCATACGCTACATATACTACTTTATATAAAAGCTATTCGAAATCACTTTCATGTCCGTGTACGAATATCTCTATTCGACATGATCAATTTCTTCGTGTCAATGTTCGATTTCATCAAATATGTTCAAGTGCATTCGTTTCCAATGCATCTTTTCAAGTTCTTCTGAACTCAAGAATTCTGAATCTGGTTAGCAACGGTCAAGCTCATATGCAAATTCTAGCTTTTTGGTGTCATCAAGCCAATCAAAGCGTGATCCATAATCTTAATACATTCAATGCTACTCCATTCATTTCTCGTGAAGTTCTTCCTTTTGAACTTTTCGAGAAACAGATGTAAGCGTTAATAGAATTGTTTACGTCGTCAATGACGAGCAATTTTGTTCGTCTATTATATATGAACAGAGAATCAAGGTCGAACAACCTACTCGAAAGTGGTTATCAAACGGTTGTCACGCGAATTATTGTCGGTGTTTTTCCCAATATCAGTTGTAGGAGTATGTATACTGTTTACACCAATAACACATGCAACTGTTTACTCCCCAATAATTGTACTGATCCATTACGCTATTTTGATCCGCTTATTCGATCAAAAGTATACACTGTTGGCGGACTTCGAAATGGTTGTTACATTGAAGAAGCAACGCTTCAGTCGACTCTTGAATGTTACTACAATCAAAGCTGTCTTGATAGTTTTCATGCTATGATAGGCATTGATCAATTATTTCAGGCAGTAGCTCTCAATTCGACTCCAACATCGAGTAGATTTAATGCTAGTTCATACATGAGTGATCCAGCCACAGTTATGATGGTAGAAAATTGGACAAGTACATTAAATCATGTAGCATTCTATAATAGTTGTAAACCAATCAAGTGTGTATATTCATACAGAAGCAAGGATGAATTCCTGTATGCCATTATTACAATTATTTGGTTATTCGGTGGCCTAACGATGATTTACAAAGTTTTGGTTCCTATAATTGTCAACTTTCTGATGCATCAAATTTTTTGAAGGCCAGCAACCATTAAAAGTAATTTTCTTTTCTTTTGAAACTCTACATCATAAGAAGAAAACTAACATTCCATCTTGAGACTTATCGGACATAGCATATCTTTTAGAATAAAAATTTTCCGCTTTAGAAAACTGGCATGAATAGAAAAAAGATTAGGTTAACCTTCTATCAACTGTATTTGTTTAATCAACTTAGTATTAAAAAAAAGGTTTTCGATCTCCAAGATTCTCACAATACTATTCACCACATTGAAGAAATCTAATATCTATCTTTTCTTGCTTTCAGAGTTGTTCTTCAATGAGAAATTTCATCGATTATGGAATAAACTCAAGAAAGCAATCATCAATTTGAATTTGTTCTACACACCACCGGCATCCACTATCGAAGTCGGATACAGACGAAAAGTACAGGTTATTTCAACACGTATCTTTATCATTCTTCTACTTACTTCCCTTATTATACTGATCATTTATCAATCTCAAGTACCTGTCATACAAATAATTACTATTCAAATACCCTCCTACGATCAGTACACAGCTATCTCTAATAGATATTCTAAAACCCTCTCCTGTCCTTGTACAACTATCTCTATTCCATATGATCAATTCATTCAATTGAATGTCGTTCGTTTTCACCAAATATGTCAAAGTATCTATGTAACAGCGAGTTGGCGAAAGTGGATTTTTCGTTCAGGTACTGAAGCTCTCTTCATGGAAGATTTTCGTTTCATTGTCCCACCTTTTTTTCGTGCATTGAGCTCACTTTGCGATATGACACGAAGAGTCATCAACGATGAACTGATCATATTCAATGCCAAACATTTTGTCACAAGTCATGTTATCGATATTGATCTCTTTCAAGTAGAATGTCAATTATTCATGGAATTGTTTATCTCATCGATCATAAATACATTTATACGCTCGATGCGACTTTTACGGGATACTACTCAAGACAACTCTCTTATTTCAGTGGCGACAGCTAATATTTTATATGTCCCCGTGCTTCAGAATAATAACATTATTCTCAGAACATTGTATCCCACTCGTAACATCAATGAATCGTCGAATTGTACTTGTCAGCAAACAAAAACATGTGTTGCTGAAGCAGGTTTCTACTTCACCGATTCGAGCAATCCTCAACGTTTTCTACGATCGCCCATACAAGGCTTGTTTATGGGCTGTTATATTATGGAATCTCTTTTACAATCCAGTCTTGTTTGTTTTTATAACCAATCCTGTATCAATTTATTTAAGAACATGGTACATTCTCCTACGAAACTGAACACAAGTGCACTTGATCCAACTTTACCCGGTCGATTTGCACCAGATGCAACAGTTCGTAGTATCGTTACTCCATTAATGGTTGAAGAATGGATTAATACAACATCACACAAGGCATATTATGATCGATGCCAACCGATCACATGTACTTACTCATATGTGGACAAAAATCCATGGCTTGTCGTGATTAGCATTACTCTTGGACTGATCAAAGGTTTAACAACTATTTTGAAAATTGTTGTACCTCTTGTTGTCAAATTTTTCAGTTATTGCTGTTGCAATCGAGTTCAACCATTATCTAGTAACTGAAAACTGTGAAACTCGAAAGCATTTCGTATTTACATGTAGTTTGCTTCGTCATCGTCGTCATTATTTATGTTTAATGTAGTGCAATCACTTCTCAAATACATTCAAATAAAGATTAAGTTTTACACATTCTGAACTCGTATCCAATTTGAAAATCATAGTGTTACTTTTCGGCATGAATTTCTTCATCGTTAACATCGATCAACTAATATTGAAACTTGTCAGCATTGGAAACAATTATATTTTCAATGATACTCTGATTTTTCAGATGGAAAGAAAAAAACTCGAGTGAACTAAAAAGAACTGTGGCCAAATGCAAACTACAAGCAATGTCGACAATACTTTGCAACTTCAATCTTTCTATTCACCAGATTTACAGAAACCCACAGAAGTTTTGTTATTTATTCACACTAGCCGACACCTACTGTGTAGAACTATCTGACTGTTCCTATTGAGGTCTTTTCTTGAATATAAACAACCAAAAATATGTTATAAAAGGAGTTTAAGTGATTTTTTTGTGTTTATTTTGTCTGTTATGATTGAAGTTTCATTATTTTCATATGCGTATCTTCATTCGAAGTTCTGTTGAGTAATCGAAATAATAAGCGTCTTACCTTATTTTTTTCAAGAACTATTCAAGAACTTTATTATTGTCTTATATCTTGAAATCAATAATCATTTGTTTCGACTTATCGACGACTCAGCACTGTCTATTTGATCTCTAGTGCAATATTCTCGAACAAATCGTCAAAGGCTTTGCCGGTTCCGATGGAATTAAGTATCATTCTTGCGAGAAGCTTGAAAGAGCTAGATATTAGAAATAAGCTGGAATTTCGATTGGATCTCGTTGTTGCAATTCAACACATTTCCCTCAGAAGAATTCTGATCGACTGTGATCAAAACTGATGCCGATAACGTTAACCTGATCATGTACCACGATCATCAGAAAACTATCTCTGATAACTATAAGAATCTTCGGATTTATTCCAAAACCTAATTAAACAATTGCAAAAAAATGGACATGTTGCTTTTTTCAGAAACTTTGTGAATAGCAGTTAGTCAAATATAGGTTCGCAAAGTCCTGGACAAAGTAGATGATGATCTGTCTATTTGAACAGGTACAACGTCACATAATTCGGAATAGATATATAGGTTACATATGGATTATAATAAGCTTTGATTGCTAGAACCAATCCGATAAGAATCGATTGACTTCGATTAAAGTCGAGTCACTCAAGACTAGCAACATCAGATTTTCTCGTTTGTTTTTCTTCAATCAACTTGAGAAACTTTGAGAGTTTGAATGGGTAAAGAGAAGATCCTCCTTCTAATTTGAGACAGCCAGGTTCGAGATAAACATCATTTGTAGTTCTACTGTTGATTCTGGAGGACAAACGAGTATAAACATCTATCAATTCGATGTCAAATCATTTACTTGATTTTAACAACCATCAAGGGCCAATGATCGAACTGTGGCTGGTGCTTTAATTCCTTACAGCATAATCAACATGCTGTCAATTCATGAGCACCTGAATGAACTTCAATGAACCGAACACACTAGAAAACAAAGTGGTGGGTGTGGGTCGCATTAACAACAACACAACCACACTCACACCCATACCCACACCCACACCCATTGAAATGATTAATCGTACCATCGAAATTCCTGATCATACCATGAAAATAGTCGCTTGTACCAAGTGTTACAGACAGACGCACACAGGTGAATTTCGACTTCTAGACTCTATCCCTTCAGTCTATGGAATTTTAAAAGATTTGAGGTTTTCTTGTCAGTATAGATCACGAATGAGCATATGAGAAAATTTCAAAATTTCTTCTGTAGATCTCGTCTTAGTGAAAAACAGGAGAGAAAAGAACCCCGGAATAGCGAATCGTTCGGTAATGCGCTCACATTTTGTAAATACCTTTTGAAACTCATTCCGCATTATACATATATTAAAAATTCTCCCTTGGTCACTCTCTCAATTCGATAGTATTTTCGCTAAATCATTTTCATAAATGCCATCGTTTTCTTTCGTTTTTTATTTCCAATCACAAGGGTATGGGTGAGTGTGACCGTGGCTGTGGGTGTGCGTGTGCGTATCGGTGTAGGTGTAGGTGTGTTCTTTTCCTGTACACTCACACCGACACCCGCATGCACACTCACACCCACATCCACACCCTTAATTATTAACGCTGCTGTTAAAAGCTTTCTCTTATAATTCAATTCTCATCCATGAATGAAAATAATGAAAGTTGGCCAGATAACCTAAGAGCTTCCTCATTAAGGAGTTTTTTTTTTATTACCGAATGGTGAAACAATCAAGGACCCACAAAAAATAGCAAATACAGCTGCTGACTATTATGAAATGTTATTCCAGGAACCAGCGGTAGTACGTCCACATACGTATGTCCACTCTCCGATGGTTCAATGGGACAACATCTCAGATACAATACCATCAGTGACGTATCCGGAAGTTTCAGCTATACTACGAACTAGGAAGAAAAACCAATCGTTAGATATTCATGGTCTCTCACTTTACATGCTTCATAAAATACCTCTAAATTACTGACATTTGTTGATGAGTCTTTATAATTATTCATTTTCAAACGGTTATATTCCGAAGAAGTGCAAACAAGTTAGAATGGTGTTACTGGCAGAGAAACATGTTTTATGCACACCCGACCAAACAAGACCTATCTCGCTCTTTGATTTGTTTCTGAAAGTACAAGGAAGACTGTTACTTAATCGCTTTCTACGAGTCCTAAAAGAAACAGGTATCCTGCCGGAAAATCAATTTGGCTTTCGCTCTGAACATCGCCTTTAAATTCGTGTACTGCTACTCGTCAAGCAAATCGCGTCGTACATATCGAATAGTTCATCAGTCGCTACGATCTTCATTGATTTCCAATCGGCTTTTGGTCAATTGTGGTTCGATGAATGTTTAGGAAAACTTTCGATAACGGGTATCTCGCAAGCATATATCAACTGGATTATAGCGTGGCTAAGCGATCGTCGAGCAGTTATTGAATTGCAAAGTAAAAGATCGAGATGGATCCCAATTAGTCGAGGAGGTCCCAAGGCTCTAGTCTAACTCCGACGCTGTTCATTGCATATCAAAGTGATACGGCTGACTTCTTTCCTGGAGCTATGTCTTTGTCTTCGTGGATGATCTCGCTGCAGGGCTGACGGGAAAAACTGGACTTAGATTTACGAAAACAGTGTATCGATCTTGAACGCTGAGTCGAAAAGCTTTCGAAGCAGTTGGAAATCTACTCGATTCTGGCAGTACAGCGAATCAACTACTAAAGACACAAGGAATGTTCTCATCTAGAGCCGTCTGTTATCCAAACCCATAGCCACAGCTCCGCTGCGGTGATAAATCGTTACAATGGATCTCTTGGTTTAAGTACTTGGGCTATTGGTTGACAACGAAGTTAGGTTGGGAAAATGTTATTGACAAGACTCGTATAAAAACTCGTCAACAAACGGCACTCGTTGATTCGTTCGCATATAGTGGTACATCATCTAGACAGTTAAGGCGTGTACTGTTCTCCACCGTTGTGCTACCGCATTTCACAAGGTTGTCTCCACTGTATTCCTTATATACTGACACTCATTAAAAGTATCTTGGACATCTATACTATACGTTGCTGAAGCGAATTTATCATTGGCAGTATTGAGAGAACCTCATCTTCTCGTCAATATATAATGAAAAGCCGTTGAATTATCTGGACCTCATCTATTGGGAGAAGTATACAAAAGCGTTGTCAAAAATATCGATGGATTAGTACTTCTAGAACAATCATCACTTAATGCTCACAGATCGTATTGGCAAGAGGGAAGGTTGTAGATACTGCCTACGTAGATCAAAAAGGTTCGTTCCGCACGTTGATGTATTAGGGCAGGCACTTGAATGGATGATGTCGCATGGTTTTGGAGACTCAGTAGCGGCACTTAACGAAGAAGAATTCTTGTGTTTTGCTCAATTTCCTGAAAGTTTCTAACAAATAGAATTTGATCAAAATGGTCTTGGATCCTGATGACAGAAAAAAACAACATATGAGAGCACAAGAAAGTGAAGAGAAGTGGAAAGGAAAGAAAGAAAAGCAGAACAACGTGAGAAGTATGGAAGGAAAATAAAACCGAAAAATATGAACATGTCACTCATCTCTTAGAAGAAAAAAGGAAAAAAGCAATTTCTTTCCAGTTATTTCATTTTATCGGTGTGGCATATGATATCAACAACACAGAACCCTCTCGGTACCTCTTTCTTGAGTTGACTCGTTACAGTACAATATAATAAAATACACTCGTCTTTTTCATCAATATACCCTTAGCAGCTTTTCTCCGTATTAACAATGATCCGGTTCACTCGTCTATCTATCTATGCATTTTGGTTCCTTGTCATTATGAGATTGTCTTTTACAACGAACATGCGGTATAATCACGTGAAATTGGATCAGTCTCTATAAGCTGCCTTAGAGGAGCAACGGTACAGTGAAAGATCAAGGTGTGTAGATGTGGGTGTGCGTGTCATTATGGATGTCAGTGGATACATGATCCTGGACTCGTACACTCACGCCAATATCCTTTGCACATGGTCTCAATGCAGCCAAAGGGAAAAAGCAAAAAAACGAAAGCCTTGAAATAATACCGAGGATCCCATTTTGTTACAGTGACGATAAAAAAGAGCCCATATTTTGCCACATCATGATATTGACATCAATGATAGGGTTTCTTTAAAAAAAGCTACATATGTAGTACTCAATAAAATAAAACTTATTTTTCTTTGAATCTCTCACTTTTTACCGCTATTGCAGCAACAGATATATAAGTCGAGCGGCTGAGTTGCAACAACTAAAACCAACACCTGAATGCCAACAGTTGCAGAACACCCAGCCATCAGAATTCAGGAATTTTGCGATTTTATGTATTCTTTTACAGAACTTATTATTTGATTTGTTTATATTCGATTCCGAATTATATAGAATTCTATGTC